TGAGGGCATCCCTCGCACCCACCCACCCACCAAGAAGAAACTTTCCAGGAACGAGGGTTTTTGAGGCTGGTCTGCCTCCTGCCAGGCTGCACCTCCCCAGCACTCAGAGAAGCAACAGCTGTGGCCTCTCACCAGCCTTGTCCTGGGAACCAGTGGGTGTGGGGTTGGGGCTTGGGGAGAGGGCACGCACTGGGGCTGGCCTGGCCCAAGGCTGCTCTAGCACTGAAATGGGCCCCACAGTCATTCCAGCTCAGGTGTCTCTGGGGACCGGAGCACCCGGGCCTCACACGGATGCCTCCAGTTCAATGCCGCCTTCTTTCTTTCGTCTGGAGCCGAACACCAGGCTCAGTCTATGCACGCAGAGCATGTGTGGGCCTGTTGTGCTCTCGCTGGCCCGACAGTATAGGATGTAAAGAAGCCTGGGTCAGACACAAAAAGACTGCATTCATCTGGGGAACATAAAGTAACAAAATGGGAGACTAACACCCAGGAGTGGCCAAGATTAGTACCAGGAATTTTGCTCCATGGCTTGGGGGCCAGCCACACCTGCTAGGGGAAAAGGCAGCTCAGACAGAGAAGGGAGCACCAAATAAAAGGTGTTGGGAGGATCCTCCCAGTATGGGAGAAGCATGCTGAAAGTAGACTATAGACCAATCATGATTGCCACTCAATGCCTCTCTTGCAAACCACAGGACCCAAAAGGGGGGGGGGGGGGAGAGAGAGAGAGAGAGAGAGAGAGAGAACAAAAGGGAACGCCCTGCCACAGAGGCAGGGTGGAATGGGGGGATGGGGGGTGGGCGGGATGCTGGGACCCGTGGTGGTGGAGGCTGGGCGCTGGTGGAGGGACGGGTACTTGATCATTGTATAACTGAAACCCAAGCACAAAAATTTGTAAGTCTATAACTGTACCTCATGGTACATGTGTGTATCTTTAGTCCTACACGTGTAGACTTACAAAAAACACCTCATGGTGTTTCACTAATTAAAAGAAAAAAAAAGAAGCCTGGGTCACAGAGGGAGCACAGGGTGTACCTTCTCTGGGTGACACCTTCTCTGGGTGATGCCTTCTCTGGGTGACTCCACGGGATCACAGGCACCTGAACATGAGATGGTGGGGGGAGGGAATCGGGAGTGGCCCTGTTACCACCAACTGGGGCCAAAAGGGGGGGGAGGGAAGGAGAGAAGGGGGAGGTAGGGAGGGAGAGAGAGAGAGGGAGAAGAGGAAGGGAGGGAGAGGAGGGAGAGAGGGAGGGAGAAGAGGGGAAGAGGGAGGGAGGGAAAGAGGGAAAGGGAAGGAGGGAGGGAGGGGGACAGAGGGAGGGAGAGGGAGAAAAGGAAGGAAGGGAGAGGAGGGAGAGAGGGAGGGAGGGAGAAGAGGGAGACAGGGAAGGAGGGAGAGAGGGAGGGAAAGAGGGAAAGGGAAGCAGGGAAGGAAGGAAAGAGGGTGGGAGAGCGAGAGAGGGTGGGAGGGAGAGAGGGAGGGAAGGAGAGAGGGAGGGAAAGACAGAAAGGAAGGTGGGAGGGAAGGAGAGAGGGTGGGAGGGAGAGAGGGAAAGGGAGGGAGAGGGAAGGAGGGAGAGGGAGAGGGAGAGGGAAGAGGGAGAGAGAGAGAAAGAGAGAGAGAGAGAGACGGGGTGTCTCCCTCATGAAATGACAGGAGCCCCACTCTGCAGGACGGGCAGTGGCAGCACGCACACAGGCATCTTGCAGCCGTCCCTCCAAGGCTCTCTCGCCTCTAGCGGAGCTGCTCTTTCAACCATCTGGATCTTAACGTGTATTTTTCTACTCAACTACAGAAGATCTACTGCAGGAAGAAGAAGAAAAGTACTAAGAGGATAACTGAGTTATCTCTGAAAGTTTGCAACATCTGAAGGAAAGGGCTTTAATCTTTCGGGTTTAGCTCTAAAACTAAATTTCCTTGAGTCACTATTATAGCTAAAATAAACTTAGCTTCCTAAGTGTAAGCAGATGATTTTTAATCATGATTCCTATCAATGATATCTTGCCTGAATCTTCCTGAAGTTTTTTTCCTCCCCAAGCCTTGTCTTACACTGGTATTTAATCAAATCAAAAGCTACAGAATCATTAATTACATAAAGGTTGGCATTGAGTAACGTCCATTAATCAAACACAAGACAACCTCATGTGTACATAATTAATAACTGTGTTTTCTCACTACATCAAAGACTATCGCCTTTCCACAAAATTTTAATCACCTTCCAACATGCTCCCATCAACTTAATTGTATTTGAACAGAAATATGAAAAAATTAAAAAAAAATGAGGCAGTTTTAAAGCTTCCCAAGTTACAATTTATTAAGATTTGGTAACTCAAAAAAAAATTCCAAGAAAATGAGCTAGTCATGCAACTAATTCATCATTGGAAAATCTTATGAGAACTGATGTAATTATTTAGCTTTGGAATGATTAAAAGAGAAACTCAGAGCAATACTGCGCAGATTGAACAAAACATGAAAGTTATCAAGGGCTTCCCAGCCCGTCAGTCAACTACATACAGATGGGGTCCTGATCCCTGCGTGATTAGATCAGCGGGCCCTGCACACAGACCTCAAGGACGAAACACATCGGCACAAGAAGTGGAGAGGAAAAAACTCCTCTCGGTTTTGTTTTCGTAACTCATCAAAAAGGAAGCGCGCTGGGCTCCAATCTCGCAGGTTCTGAGGGACGCTCTGCTCTCCCTCTCTGTGGAGAAAGCCGCTGCCTGCCTGGTCAGGCCCGCACAGCTCGTCCAGCAGAGACAGAGAGTCTGCATGTGGGGTTGGGGGAGAGGCAATGGGCCAGTCTCTAGGTCTGCCTCTGCCATTTCCAGGGGTCCCAGCGGGGAGCACGACGTGGGCAAGCCTCAGACCCCACAGCGAGCCGCCCTGACGTCAACCACCAGAGGACAGGACTGAATGAGACCTTGTTTTACTTCCCTGAATACTGCATTTACGTTCTGGGTTTCAATCACCTTTTATGGCATTCGAGTTCAAAGTGTGCTCTAATTGTGTGTCTTGGCCTTCAAACTCTTTCATGCTTCTAAAGCATCCCTTCGGTAGGACAGTGCCCACGACGGCAATCAGGACTTGCTGACGTTTACACGATGCTGCAACATGCGTAGGACTCTAAAGATATACACACACTCATGTTCACAAGCATACGCGTATGTGCATATGTACGCCGAGTTCGCCGCCTCAAACCCGGACTTCATACAAGGGGGGAAAGGTTCTAGTCTGTCACAAATTCTTCCCCTGATGTTGTTCAGAAGTCCACAGGAATCTGGGTCACATTTCAGATTTTCAGAAAATAGAATTCTGGAAAATTCCTGTACTGAATCCATAGCTGGGCCCCGGGGAACTGGCTGCCTGTGAGGTCTGTCCGTCCGTCTGCTCTCCTAAGTTCTTCCTGGGCTTCAGCGACCACAATACACTCAGAAAAGCTACTATCACTATCCTCTAAAACCCGTACTTTCCCCAAAACCACTTACGCTGGTGGGCTTGAGGACAATTACCCCTCAGACTCTACAGACTCTACTCTTAATCATGGTCTTTCTTCATACAACGTCAGCGTGCACTGATGACTTGGAAATGACACGCAACTTTATACTCCGTTTTCTGATAGAGAGGAGGGGGTGTTGGGTCGTACCACAGTATACGCAGGAGCTACTCAAAAATGTCCCACAGGGCTCAGGACAGCACATGTGCTGCCCGGGACTCAAACTGGGCTCAGTAGGATGCACAGCAAGAGCTTTAACCCCTGAACTATCTCTCTGTTTGCAAATACTTTTCATTTAGTTATTTTGGGGTTTTGGGGTCCTACCAAGTTGTGCTCGGGGATCGCTCCTGGCAAGGCTCGGGACCATATGGAAACTGAACCAATGCAAACTGAGCACTTTACCCAGATGCTTTGATTTGTAAAGAGTTTCTCTTAGATCCTTGTCCCCAGCATCACGATGACAGAGGACCAGGGGTCACTACAAACTCAGAGCCCATTGGCATTTAAGGAAAGTCAGACCATAGGGGTTTGCCACCCCATTGCCCTCAGAGGGCTCTGCTGGTGTGTGCCACCACTTGCTACTCCTCAATAAAACAGGATGGGAACAGTGCCCACTGCAGACGGCTGCCGAGGGCACCACAATTTAACACATGCAAGGGAGCAGTGCCCGACACGGTGCGATTAAGAGACTTAGCAGTAGTTAAGCTCACTCCAGGGACCCCAGGGCTCCCACAGCCATCACCAACTGCCCTCGGACACTTGGCCCCAAAGTTCCTAAAATCCTCAACTGTAGGGTAACACTGTTCGGTCTTTCCTGCATAGCCTCAGAATAGTTGATAGTTTATTGATAGTTTATTGGACTGAGGAAAAGACAAAAACACCTTAAGGAGGTATTTTGCCTCGGGCAGTCAGGAAGGGCTTTAGAATACCTTTCAGGTGGGCCCTCAGGAAGGGCTTTCTTATATTGATTTGGCTACCTGACTGAGTGGAGGTCAGCCCAGGACTGCAGGGGAGTTGGAGAGACAAGGTAGCTGGAGAGAGAGAGCACAGGGCTGCAAGATGGACCACGGAGAGACTAACAAGGGGAACATGTGCTTGAGAGAACCTAGGCCCTCCATAACATAAATTTCTTCTATGGGATAAACTTCCTTGTAATAAACTGTTACTAAGATCAACCGGCCTGGCCCTCGTCTCTTCCTTCGTCTGTCCAACAGCCGTCCTGATCCAGGCCACACACAGCGGCCCTAGGGCACCGAATGCAGGTGGTGAGATACAGCCATCCAGAGCCTGAGAGCACACAACCTCCTGCGTGCTTAGCTTTTTACACTCTACTTTCATCTTTATCTCACTAACTCGTGGCAGGCTGGGGAATTCATTCCCTGGGCCTTCCTCTGAAATGGGTGTCACAAACCTTGAGGCACCCGTACAAAGAAGCCCTCCGCAGAGGCCTGGGGGCACAGCACAGAGCAGGATGCCCTGGGGTTTGACTGAGAAAGTCCCACTTACTGTTCGGAGTCGTAGTAGTCCATGCGCTTCTTTTTCTTGTTGTAAGCTGCTACTCGGAAGGGAACGATCTCCAGGGTGATGAGGCCAGGGGCCATCGTCAGCACTTTGGCGCCGTGAGAGGGCTCATAGAGATCCTTCCCGGTATCCGGATGAGGCATACCAGCCGGATCCCGTCCAACAATGTAGAAATTGGCTCCTGCGACCATCCGTGCTCGGCAGTGCCACTGGACCTAGAAGGGAAGCTGGCATGTTAGTGGGCCATGCTCACGTGAGCCGTCCTGGCCAGCACTGACCAGCGGATAAGGACGGCCAGTACCCAGTAGCAGGAAACATCCACAAGATGTAGAAAACCTAGGAAGCCAGGGGGGAAATTGGTAACCCCTCCCACCACTGCAGAAAAAAAAAACAAAACAGTCGGAACTAGTAGACATGGATGCATGGGTATTTATGGTTTTTACTTCAAAAAAACAATGTGAATGCACAAATGATTTGATGCAATAATCAGGGGCCATTTATGTACAGTTCAAAATCTCATAATGAGAAGTGAAGCTAATGACTGGTCCTTCGAGGTAAACAGATGGACAGGCTTCCACGGGGGCTTCCACGGAAAGGGTGGAGCCTATTTCCTTTAGTCCTGCCGAGTATTACCAGCAAACAGAACTGCACAGACTTAAATCAATGACTCTCTACATGACACAGTGAAATGTCGCCCACAGTCCAATAATGAACACTTCCATCAACCTAATGGGAGTGTAACGCGACAGACCCCTTTTCCTGGCAAACTTCAAGCACACAAGGAGTATTTGGGGGTTACAGCTGGGGGGCAAGAGAGGCTGAGAATGCCACAGCTGTGCTGGGGACTGGCCACAAGCAAGGTATGTGCCCTGATCTCTTACTACCCCTCTCTGGCCCCAAAGGATTCCTTTCCTTTCCTTGAGTCTGAGGCCATGAGCAGCTGCTGTGTGATGCGTCTGCCCTGACATACTCCTGTGTATGTTCCGAGTTCTAGAGTCGTTTCTGCTCCAGACCCGCTTGTGAGCACGTCATACCCTCTGTGAACTTCGCAGAGCTAGATGGGCATTTGGCTCCGTGTTCTTTCCGGTGTTATTCTTCAATGGGTCAAACAAAACTAGTGGGTGAAAATAATTTAAACCATGTGACTACTTCAACCAGCTGGCACAGAAAATCAGATGCCAAGCACCAACAACCGGAATGGCTGGTGAGAGTGAAACAAGGTGCTGGTTAATACTGAACACTGGTGCATCTAAGGCAATGTTAAGGCCCCGGCTTTCACAGTGAAGACATCGTTTGAAAACAATCAGTCTCATGATAATGCCACGGTTACTGGGATGCATGCACCTGGTCTTCAATAGCGGACGGCCACCAGCATTGCACTGGCTTACTCTGGGGAACAGACCCATATTATCTGACTCTGTGACAGAGGACACGAGGGCATCTTCGTCCCCTGGAAGGAGGTGTGGTCCAAAAACAAAACAAGGACTGTTCAGTCATTGCTCCGAGTTCGCATTGCTCTTGGGGAATCATTTACACACCCTCTAGTTCCTCTTCCGCTCTCCTTCGCTACTCCTCTGTTTTTGAGGTTCCTCTCATCACCAAGTTCCAGCACACTGACCCCTTAATGTGCCCGAATAGCTTTCTTTGCATCCACCCTCTCTGATGCTCACTAGGCCTCTCTGGGATTATAGGTATCAATGAAGGTCTTCACCAATTTCAGAAAATTTTCAACCATCATTTTAATACTTCTTTTGCTATCTTCACTCTTCATATTTTCCCATTCCTCTTCCCTTGAATAACTCCAATTGTATGTACACTAAATGACTTGAACATAATCCATAAGTTACTGAGGTTTGGCTCATTTTTCACCTCTACTTTCCTTCAAATAAATTCTATTGATCTTTTATTCAATTCACTGATCTTTTCTGCCAGCTCTAATCAGCTTTTAATTTTATCCAGTACATGTTTTCATTTCACATGTCTATTTTTTTCAATCCTTGGGTTTCCACTTAACTCTTTAGTTTCCAATTTTTGAGATTCCCCATCCAAAAGAACCATATTGGGGCAGAGAGACAGTACAGTGTTTGGGGCGTATGCCCTGCACATGGCTGCCCCAGGTTCAATCCCTGGAACTCCATATAGTCCCTGGAGCACCAACCAGGAGTGATCCCTGAGCACAGACCCAGGAGTGAGGCCTGACCATATGTGGCTGTGGCCCAACACAAAAAGCAGAACTGTATTTTCATTCAGGGAGCTTTAACTCACACAGGCATCATCTCATAACAGCCAAGGACAATCTTTTAATTTGTGGAGGGGGGTCACACCCAGAAGTGCTGGAGTGATAGCACAGCGGGTAGGGCATCTGCCTTACACACGGCCGACCCAGCTATCCAGGTTCAATTCCTCCACCCCTCTTGGAGAGCCCAGCAAGCTACTGAGAGTATCTCACCCACACGGCAAAGCCTGGCAAGCAACCCGTGACGTATTCGATATGCCAAACTCAGCAATAAGTGTCACAATGGAGATGTTACTGGGCCCACTCGAGCAAATCAATGAACAACGGGAGGACAAGGACAGTAACAGTGACCTGGCAGTGCTCAGGGGTTACTCCTGGCTCTGCACTCAGGAATTAACCCCTGGAGGTGCTCATCATATGGGATGCCAGGGATGGAACCTGGTCAGTCAAGTGCAATGCCAATGCCCTCCCCACTGTATTATTGCTCTGGCCCCTCTATGGACAATCTTCATTTTGGATTCTAGCTCATACTTTCCCTCCTCTTCAGCCTCCTCTCTGTGACCCAGCCAGGCCACCTAAGGGAGCTCCACCTGTGTGTGTCCGAGCCGGAGTCCTCCTGTTTATTCTGGGTCACCCGGCTGCCAGCAGAGAACCGGGCTGAGCATGGGGTGCCCAATGTGTTTCCCATCTCCCAGGGGTCACAGCCTCTTTGCCAAAGCCTCTAAACCAGTGTTTCACATACTCAATCAACTATTTTCAACATGAGCATTGCACAGGGTAGACCAATAAGATTCCAGGAACAAAGGGAAGAGCCCAGAGACAGAAGGGTAGCCCGTGACAGAAGGGTTGTCACAAGGGCCTTTCCCTGCATCAGTCTGACCCCAGAAAGGGCATCAGAGCAGAAAAGAAAGCGCCAGTTCCTGCTAAACTTAGTGGGGAAGTGGCATGGATTACCTAATTGTGGAAAAACCTGACACAAACAGCATCTGACCTTGATGCTGCTTCGGTCTGAAACCACCAAGTAGGGTGAGCTGGAACCTACACGGAAATCAGGAGGGGAAAGTGACATCTCCGCCTATGGAAGCATCCCGAAGCACACAGCAAGTCTGATCGAATCAATTCTCTCTCAACTAGTGAGTCCAGCTCTCAAGACACACAGAAGCCAAACCATGAGGATTCCAGAAATTCCTTTCAAAATAAATTGGTAGATTCTAAATTTAGTGTGGTACAGTCCCACAACTGTGTATTGAAAATTTTAAAGACAGGGGAACAAGGAAAGAGAGGGAAAAGAAAAAGGAAAGGAAAAAGGAAAGGAAAGGAAAGGAAAGGAAAGGAAAGGAAAGGAAAGGAAAGGAAAGGAAAGGAAAGGAAAGGGGGGAGGGGAGGGGAGGGGAGGGGAGGGGAGAGGGAGGGAAGGGGTGGGGAGGGGAGGGGAGGGGAGGGAAGGGAAGGGAAGGGAAGGGAAGGGTTGGGTTAGTTATTAGTGTTAATAGGACATTGCTTAAGATGTACAATGCATTAGTTGGTACATGCATACCCTGCAAAATGATTATCACAGTATGTTCAGTTAAGACACTCATCTGAGTTCCAAAAACCACTTATTTTTGCTAATCTTGTAGCAATAGCTGGTCAAAACTCACACAAAATTACTTTAACTTTTATCAATACCATCTTGTGTGAAAAATCATTATCTACAAAAATATTAATGAATGTCCTTCACGTCTCAGGTCCTTCAGAAGAATACAACCCCCAAAGATTCTGGATGAGATTGTGAACCAATGCCAGGCGACAAACACAACTAGGGGCTGGGAATGTGAAATCAGCTACGAATCAGCTACGGAGGATCCCTCATGGATGAAGCCATGAAAAAGAAAGAAAGAAAGAAAGAAAGAAAGAAAGAAAGAAAGAAAGAAAGAAAGAGGCAAAGAGGGAGGGAGGAAAGGAAAGGAAAGAGGAATAAAGACAAAATTTTCAAGACTGCAAAGAAAGTCAAAGTTACAGGTGAGACCTGCACGGGAGATGGTTGACCAGGCAGCGGGAGGGCTTTGCCTCACATCCGGCTGACTCGGGTTTGGTCCGTGGCACCCCACACAGTGCCCCAAGCCCACCAACAGTGATCCCTGAGCGCAGAGCCAGGGGTAAGCCCTGAGCACTGTTGGCTGTGACCTAAAATCAAAAAGAAAAAAAGACTCTGGAGTCAGTGCTCTCTGAATCCTGAAGATTCAACTTGGTCTTAAGCTGAGAGGTTTCTCGGTGCGCTCTCTCCTCTCTCTCCCCTCTCAATCCTTTCTCCTCTCCCCTGCCTTCCCCTCTCCTCTCCCCCTCCTCCTCTCTCTCCTCACCTCTCTTCTCTCCTCTCAACTCTCCTCACCTTTCCTCTCTCCTCTCCTTCTCTCCCGTCTTCTCCGCTCCTCTCTCTGATCTCTCCTCTCTACTCATCCCTCCCCCTCCTCTTTTCTGTCCTCACCTCTCACTTCTCTCCTCTCCTCTAACCTCTTTTCTCTCTTCTCTCCTCTGAACTTTCCTCTCTCCTCTCCTCTCTCTCCTCCTCCAGCTTCTCTCTCCTCACCTCTCCTCTCCCCTCTTTTCCTCTCTCCTCTCTCACCTCTCTTCTCCTCTCCCCTCCCCTCTTTGCCCTCTCTTCTCCTCTCATTCCTCTCCTCTCTCTCCTCTCCCAATAAAATTATTTTACTTCAAAACATTAAAAAAATACAATCGCATATACAGACCCTATACAAAGGGCCAGGAGTTTCCAGTTTAGGTCTCTAAGGTGTATCTATAGGGGAACCTGGTTTACATCCTATTTATTTGCTCCAGATACTGCTGGAAAGCAGGAACTAATGACCAAAATGCGGCATCCGCTCACTGGCCGATTCCTAAGAGTCACTCAGAAGTGCAGTGACCTTTCATGGCAACACAGAGTCCCTCCTCTGACCACGTGTCTTCTCCAAAATCAAACAGGTCTAAAGCTCAGACCCGGGAGTGCTGATGACAGGGACCACCCGCCCCCCCCCCCCCCAAGGGACATCTGACTAGGGTCTTTATGCCCACCTGGAGGAGGCAGGGTAAGAACACAGTGAGGCAGAAAGGGAAAAGAGAACTTCCCTCGTCAGGACAGAGCTCAGCGACATGGACACAGGGAATGAGTGACCTGCCTTCCGTGAGCCCACCCACGGCCCCCACTTTCCCAAAATGGAACAGAAGCATCAAACCATGAAGCCTTTATAGCCTGGGAAACCAGGGCCATCCTGTTGGTACCCAAACAGGCCCCACAGCTGCTCTCTGCTCTGAAAAGCATTTGTCTGGGGAAACGAATCTGGTCCTAATGCCTTCTAAATGACCCACAGAAAATGATTAAAGGAAGACTCATTGTTTTGGTTTTATTATTATTAGTTGGCACATAAGCATCACTGGCAGCCGTTTTCCTGATGTCACTGGAAAAGCTACAACCACGAGTGTTTTTTTAATTACAAAAAAAAATTCTTCACTTCAGGCCGTGAATAAGCCAAGTCAGCCAAGCACACAAGCAAGCCACTGGGGCAAAAGAAACGGGTGGACGTCCCGAGCTGCACCTGCGACGGTTCTCATCCTGCCCACTCAGGTGATACCGCCACGGAGGCCGGCTAGCCCCAACCAGTTCTGTGAGCCGGACAGACGGGGCAGCAGGGAGGGCACTGGCTAGGTTCGATCCCTGACACTCGGCATAGTCTCTTGCCCCACCAAGAGCTATCCCTGAGTGCAGAGTCAGGAGAAAGCCCTGAGCACAGCTGGGCTGCCCCGCCCCCCCCAACAAACAAAAATAAAACAAATGGGAAAAAGGCAAAAACTAGCAGCCCAACCCTGACCACCTCTACCCACGTCTCTGCCTTTGCTCCTGAAAGGCCCAGGAGGTCAACACTGATTTCTGCTCACACAACCATACTCGCTATTTCAGGCTAAGAATCTGACGCTTAGCTCCCAAGTGACACTCAGTGATGCAACTGCTTCTTAAGAACCTTCTGGAAATCTGGCAACTCTGAGATATGCAGGGCACCCAATCCTTTTGTCCTCAGGAAGACAGTTGATGCTATGCTTTCATAGCATGGGAGTTAATGGACTCCAAAGAATATTTATTCTTGGGCATCCATCATATTTACCTGACTTAAACCTCAGTTGCCTTTACTTCCTAACACTCCGAAGGAGGGTCCCAACAAAGGGTCTGGGGGAACCCAGAGCAAGCTATAAGCTACCCTGACATCGAAGAGGGATCGGCTAAGCACCATAAGAAGTTAAGAGCATGGTCATGTAACAAACTTTGTCATGACCCCGAAGAAATAACTGAACAAGGACCCTGCTGGGGTTAGGAAAGACTAACCAGGCCTGAGGGTTGTAGTCTGGAATATATAGCGAGATGTCCCCAGGAAGAGTCAACCTTTAAGCTTAATATAGCTCTTACTGTGTTCATACAAAATGACTAGAAATATTGTTAAGAATTTACAATAACCGTTTAAATGGATTACTAGCTGAGGAAAGGAGAATGGTGAGTTATAACAGTTCTCAAAAACTGACTTTTTTGATCTAAGTTTTGATAATTCCTCTTCCCTTTGTGTTGGAACAGACAATATGGAATAGATTTGTTTGCACCTACATGGGGCAGGCAGGGGTGACAGGTGGGAAACTGAGGACTTTGGTGGAGGGAAGGTCACACTGGTGGTAGGATTGAAGTTGATGCCTGAAACAACTATATTATGAAAAACTTGGCCACTCATAATGTTATAATATAGAAAGAGAAAGAGAGGAAGGAAGGAAGGAAGGAAGGAAGGAAGGAAGGAAGGAAGGAAGGAAGGCAGGCAGGCAAAAAAAAGAAGGGAAGAGGGGCTGGAGCCATAGCACAGAAGGTAGGGCATTTGCCTTGCATGCTGAAGCTGCCAACCCGGGTTCGATTCCCAGCATCCCATACGGTTCCCTGAGCAATGTCAAGAGTAATTCCTGAGTGCAGAGCCAGGAGGAACCCCTGTGCATCGCCGGGTGTGACCCAAAGAGAAAAACAAACAAACAAAAGAAGAGAAGGAAAGGGAGACAAGGGGAAGGGAGGGAAACACAGCTGATATGGAAGACAAAGGCCTTTCTAAAGAGAACAAAGCAGCGTGAGGCTGTGTGGAGTTCTCTCCACAAAGGACTTTCCATTTTACTACAGTCCGCTGTTTTTAATTATTTCTCTCTCCACTTCATGCCACCCTCTTTTTTGGGGAGTAGCACGGGTGGGACCATGTCCCATAAGCCTGTGCTCTGCCTCTGTCTCTGTCTCCCCTCTCTCCTCCTCCTCCTCCCTCCCCCCTTCCCCCATTTCCTCTCTCCCTCCTCCTCTCTCATCTTCTGGCTTTGGGGCCATACCCAGTGGTGTTCAGGGGCTACTTCTGGCTCTGACCTTGGCAGTCATTCCTGGTGGTGCTCAAAGGCCCATGTGGTCCAGGGAGTTGGGGGGGAGGGGTCAGCCACATGAAGGCAGCACCTTAGCCCCGGGACTGTCTCTCGTCCCCTCTCTGCCCCCTAGGCTCCCTCGGCAACACACAAACCTTTGAAGAAGTGATTTTTAATTTAGTTCCTTAGTAACATTTCCTCTCTCCTCCCCCTTTAGGTGAGCAAGAGTAAAAGTTACCAAGGGAATAAAATCTGTCCCGAATGAGGGGTCCCACGGTAACCCCTTTCCTGAGCCTGAATTCACCTGCGTTGTTCCAACACGGGCCGAGTTCACTCTAATTCTGCAGAGTATCAGACAAAAAGAGGCTGACCTGAAGAGGAGGAGGAGGGTGACAGGATGACACAGGGCAGGGAAACCCGGGGGACTCAGGAACACAGACCCTTCATCTACAAACAGCTTGGTTCCTCCCCGGTGGTCTCAGGAACTCCAAGGACAGCCCTGCCCTTTCTCCCGAGACATTTGCACCAAGAAGGGAGAACCAAAGGGAGGCCCGACTCAGGCCGCATCTGACAGAAGCACCAGAGACTTTGGGACCTTCGAGTATTCTCTGGTTCTCATCTCTGTGTGTGCTTCTTCGAGACACAAATGGAGAGTGAGCAGCCCTGCCGTTAGCCCCAATAAAGATGTTCTGGCTCAAGCCCAGCGGAGAGTCAAATGCTTGGACTTCTTCTGAAACTTTTTTTTCCCTCAAAAGAGGCATCATATGGCTGGAGGAATCATTCGGGACGGGAGATGTGTGCTGAAAGTAGATAAAGGACCAAACGTGATAGCCTCTCAGTACCTATATTGCAAATCATAATGCCCAAAAGTAGAAAGAGGCCATGGGGGAGATTGTCTGCCATGGAGACAGGGGGAGGGGTGGGATGGGGGTGAGGGGTGGGATACTAGGGACATTGGTGGTAGAGAACGTGCACTGGTGGGGGGACGGGTATTAGATCACTGTACGAGTGAAATTCAAACATGAAAGCTGTATAACTGTGTCTCACAGTGATTCAATTAAAAAAAAAAAGAGGCATTGTTGCTAAATTATTTAGATCCATTGGAAAAGGGTCTGTCTCCCAGAGAAATCCAAGTCAATTCTAAGAGAGATGAAAAGGAGCACAGTAAGAGTGCACATTCCATCCTTTATCTTCAAAACTAAACAAGAAGCTGCCTTGGAATTTCCCACACACCGAGTTTCTGGCCCCTCACTGATTGATTCACTCATTCTACAAAATAGTTTTTAAAGCCGATCTGCCTCAAAGCAAAAAGCCTAATGAAGTCCTTTTCTTTTTACAGAGTTATAAAGTTGACCACTAAGCTGAACTCCAGAGCAGCGACACAGGGAAGGCCTCCTGGCTGTGCATTTCCTCCCACCGAAATGCCCACGGCCGCGGCAAACTCCAGGAGGAGCAGAAACGCAGACTCCGCTGTACCTTGGGAAGAGGCCAGAGGAACGTGCCAAGGGTGAGCTATGCTGGAGACAAGCGGCCCTTCACAGGGGCGTCTCCTACTCAGTCATGCCCTGACCGCTCTGCAGGGACCACGCGTCCCTCCCTTCCCAGGACGAAGCAGCACAGGCGGAGCAGCAGAACTGATGGAGCAGAAGGACTCAGGCCAAACCCAGCTGGTGAGGGAAGACGTGACCCCACCCCGGTAAGGGCACGGCTCCAACAGAGTCCCCGCACACCAAGATGCTGGGCAGCGTGTATTACGCCAAGCGGGGCCCCAGCCCTCATGGTCCTGCAGGCGCAAGAGAAGCTTTGTTCCACTGCACCAGCATCCAAGGAAGAACATCGGGGGCAGGAGAATTTGTTCCAGGCTCGTTCCAGAGATGAACTTCCTGGGGCGACTTCAGCTGGTTCTGGAGCCCCCGGGCTCTGCTCTCTCCTCCCCACAGCCTCATCTCCCCTCCCCACATCAGGGTCCTCTCTCCCACCGCATACCCAAGAAATCCTTTTCTGGGGCTGAAGTGACAGCACAGCGGGGAGGGCGTTTGCCTTGCACGCGGTCGACCCGGGTTTGATTCCCAGCATCCCATATGGTCCCCTGAGCACTGCCAGGAGTAATTCCTGAGTGCAGAGCCAGGAGTAACCCCTGAGCATAGCCAGGTGTGACCCAAAAAGCAAAAAAATTAAAAAATAAAATATAAAAGAAATCCTTTTTTCCTGTTCTGCCTGATGAAGCCTGGCTTTGGTCCACCAGCCTGAAAGAAGCCTAGAGGAATGTGTGGAGGGGGAGCGGGGGCGCGGGAGGCCAATTTCCCTGCTATCCCCATCACGAAACTGTTTCTGTACCCCCCCCAACCCACGTGTGCTCCCCTGGGGGCCTACCTCGGTGGGCCCGGCATACATCATGGGGGACGGGAAGATGGCCACCACAGTTGAGTCGGGGTCCAGGACGCCCTCATCCAGCACGGCCGCATGCTGCTTCATGCGCCACAGCAAGGGGACGTCGTCGTCCTTGGTCCAGCCCCCAAGCGGGTGCAGCAGCAGCACGGGGCGCCGGTAGCCGCGCTCCAGGAGCTGCTTCTGCGTGTCCTGCATGAGCAGCGCGTGCCCATTGTGCACCGGGTTGCGGAGCTGAAAGGCGAACACGGCATCTGGAACAAGAAGGACATGGTCAGGCTCACGGGAGCGGCCGCCCGGATGAGGGAACCCCCCGGGCTAAGGGCGCCTCTTTGGCCAAGAGCGAGTCCAAGCTGACGCCTGACTCCCGGGAGATGCTACCTTCACCCGCTTTACCTGGCAGAGCCCACCTGCCTGGGGTAACTGATAAGACAGCTGGAGTCCTGACAACCACTTCCTGCAAACTGGAGAGTCACAGTCAGAGCTCTAGGTCCTAAGCTTACTGACGATGGAGATTCCTGGCTGCGCTTTAACCGCCCAATGGGCCAGACCTCCAGAGGACCTCAGACTCTGCTTTACTAAACGGAGAGAATGGCAGAAAACTCTGTAGCTTGAAAAAATGTGCCCTTCTCTCCGGCAAGGGAGTGTAACATGATGCGCACCATAACCATGCCTCGGGACCCCGCACCAGGCTATTTCACTCGAGGCGCCCCAGAGGGGGGTGGGTGAGACCCCTACATTTCCCAAGGGACCCAGTCCCGGAAGTTGAAAACTCCCAGAACTCATCCGCCACCATGCCCAGGGCTTCTCTCCACATGCACGGGCCGAGCTTCACCCACGACTGAACCTATTACTTGATCCCACAGTCACAAATGTGGCCACACAACACTTCATACCACACAACCTACCTATACTCCAAGAGTACTGCACCACATTTGATAGAGTTCAAAGTAAAAGGCAACCAATCTTAGAGGGAAATATATTTTTCTTTAACAGATATATCAAGATCACGACCATCCTGTTATTCGTCGATTGCCTCAAGCAGGACCCAGTAACGTCTCCTTCGTCCTAGCCCTAAGATTTTTTTTTTAAAAGTGCCATATTTAAGGCTCTTTTTAAGAGTTAGGAGAATGAGACCCATTACTGATACTGGTATTTGGCATATTTGGTACGCCACGGGGAGTTTGCCAGACTCTGCCATGTGGGCAGGTTCCATTCAGTAGCCTGCCAGTTTGTCCAAAGTAGGAATAAGATAATAAGATGGGAGCTGGGTTTTATAGTCTCTGGGTCTTGGCCATTGATGGGATTACACGGCGCGAGGGGGCCAGTTGGTGGGTGTGACCCCTGCCTACTGGAATTTGGAGGATCTGAGTGGAGGATGCTCAGCCCCGATTCGAGCAGGCTTGGAGATCTCAGCCCCGGGGCCCGCATGCCTTTGTTCCTCAGCCGGTACCTTCATGCATGTGGAGAGTGGTCTCAGCATGGTGGTGGCTGGTTCTGGAGGTCTTCGGCTGCTGGAGCCCTTGGTCGGGGTGGGGAGGGAAACTCAACCCGCTCCCACCAAGGGGTCCCGGCGAGGACAGCCAGGCGCAGGGGCAGGAGACTCATATATATATATATATATATATATATATATATATATATATTGCTACCCGTGACGTATTCGATATCCCAAACACAGTAACAAGTCTCACAATGTCAGTGGGCCCGCTCGAGCAAACTGATGAACAACAGGAGGGCAGTGACAATGATATATAAAAGCACACAAGGCTCAATTTCTAACAACATGTTAGTGATCTCTTATAGAAAGGTTTAATGTCCCCTGGGTGAAAGACAATAATCCTCATCCCCTTTCCTGTAAGGATACTTTTTCGTAGCATTTTCAGTGGTTTTTCATAACAAACAATACAAAATAAATTACTTTGGTTCTGCTTTGGGGCAGGGATTGAGGATGGAAACACCCAATATATGGCGGTAGGAAGGTGTAATGCTGGTGGGATTGGTGTTTGAATATTAAATGTAATCAAATATTGTGAACTACTTTGTAAAGTAAAAGAAATTATTAAAAAATAATTAAATTTAAAAATATTCCTCATGTGCCAGAGTGATACTACAATGGGTAAGGAACGTGCCTTGCATGAAGCTGACCCAGGTTTAGTCCCCAGCATCCCCTATGGTACCCTGAGCATCATAAAGAGCGGGTCCAATCTGATTCTGTAAAATCACCATTTACCAAGATTAGTTATATGATAGGGTGTACAAAAGGAAACATTCCAAACAAATGGTCTCGAATCCATCCACTTCACAGACTCAGCTGTTTCCTCTACCCAGGCTTTCTCTCCAGAAAGCACCAGACAAGCTCCAGTCTGAAGGTCGACCCGATACAGAGAAGCTGAATGATTTAGAGTTCACAGCGGCCATATGTAAAAGACAGTACTGCCCAAGTTTCTCCCAGGTAGAATTATTTCAGAGTCTCCTGCTCCTGCTGTCCTCATGGGGGTCCCCTGGAGGGGGGCAGGTTGAGATTCCCTCCCTGCCCTGAGCAGGGCCCCAGCAGCTGAAGACCTCCAGAACCAGCCACAGCCATGCTTAAGAATACTTTCCACACACTCAGACGAGCCTCACGCACGAAGGAACCAGCAGAGGAACCCAGGTGTGCGGAACCCGGGGCTGACATCTCCAAGGCTGCTCAGATCGGGGCTGGGCCTCCTCCACCCAGATCCCCCATCTTCCAGTAGGTAGGCATTACACCCACCAACTGCCCCCGGTGCCATGTAATCCCATCAACAGCCAAAACCAGAGACTGTATCAACAGCCAAGACCGCATTCGTGGCCGTGCAACCTCTTATTGTCTAGTTCTTGCTCTCAGAGAACCTCACAGGCTACTGAGAGTAGGCAGAGTCTGGCAAGCTCCCCGTGGCATATTCGATATAACAAAACCCAGTAACAATGATGGGTCTCATTCCCCTGACTCTGAAAGAGCCACCAATGTGGCACTTGTTAAAATCTCAGGGCTAGAACGAATGGAGACCTTACTGGTGCCTGCTAGAGGAAATCAATGAACAACAGGATGACAGTGATACAGCGAGAATTATTTCTACTTGGAATCCAATGAGCATTTGCCGGGATTACCAGGTCCCTCTGTGATGCCATCTTTTCTCGATCCCTTGAAACTTGCTGTCCGTCACAAATGGCTCTAACTGTCCACAGGTCCAGGCTGCATTTCATCTCCACTTAGGTAAGGCAAGCAATGGAATGGGAGTATGTGGTCAGTGGAAGGCCCCATCCCCCAGGTATCGGCCCAGCTGCATCAGAACTGCAACAGAACCCAATGTGCATCCCTACTCATGTCCCCTCTCCCTGTTCTCCACCAAGGACGGAAAACGAACAATGGGCCACTACAAACGTGAGGCGACGCCTTCCGAAACCCACTGCCACTGAGACTCTGCACCCTCAGCCTCCTTGGCTCGGGCAGTGGCTACCACCTCCCGGGGTCGCACCCCAGTCGAGGCAGGAACAGCTGCCTGTGCACTGGTGAGTTCTGACAACTTCACTCTGGGCTACTCTGCGTGGCCCCATCATTTCCATTCGATGGGCGTGAGCCTGGGAGAGGTGGGCACCACTGAGGCCTGGTCTGTGACATGAGGCAGCTGACACCGGGACTGAATAGCTAAGCGAGAGACCGGAGCGATAGTAGGTAGGACGTTTGCCTTGCATGTGACTGACCCGGATCCGAGCCCCAGCATCCCATATGGTCCCTTAAGCACCATCAGGAGTAATTCCTGAGTGCAGAGCCAGGAGTAACCCCTGTGCATCACCTGGTGTGATGCAAAAAGCAAAAAAAAAAAACAAAAAAAAGAGCTAAGTTAAGTGAGCCGGGTTGGCCTTGGAGGGGGTGGGCTTCTGAGAACAGGCTCAGGCTGCCGGGGTCTGCTCAGAGATCCAGAGACGCACCCACAGGCCCACCACTGCTCCCCAATAAATGCTGCAGACAGGAACTGGCCGTTGCGAGGTCTGGCCACAGACTGCAGCTCACGCACCTTCAAAAGATGAAAGAACATGGCCAGGAGCACTGCAGCTGGCAAACGTGGCAGCAGAGAGCAGGACGGCCTGAGTGACACGGGCTCCCGAGTGTCAGAGCATGCGTGAGAACCCGGCACAGGGGGAGGCCAGAGGGAAGACTGAATGCCGCATTCAGAGGGTCCGAGCAAGCTCCTGGAAACCAGCCTGGACATGGGGACAGGAGGGACAAAAGGTCACACAGCAGAGCAGCTGCCGCACTTCTCCACAAAAGAGAACCAGCACCTGGCATCTCACGCCGCTGAGTGGGGGACCCCTGGGAGACAGGCCACTCAGTGAGGTCCCGCCCAGGAAACGCTGCAGAGCTGAGGGCAGGGGACTCCCCCACGCTGCCTGGGGCAGCTCTCGCTGGCTCTGTTTTCGATGTCTCTCACCTTTTTTCCCCGGGCAAACGCTATTTGACCAACACAGGAAAGCCCACATGACCTGAGCATTCAGCATGGCTGCTTGGATCAAATCACTGGACATCACCCAGTCCTCCCCGAGCCCCAGGGTCAACAGGGGTCCCAGGAAATTCTTTTTTCTTTTTAATGTAGGAGTACTGCTATTTATTCAGCCACTGATTAGCTGATTGAATTGGACATGAATTCCACCTTACTTTTTTTTTCATAGTTTTATTTTTCTTATATTTATTGAATCACTGTGGGAAAAGTTACTAAGCTTTCAGGTTTAAGTCTCGGTCATACAATGATCAAATATCTTTCCCTTCACCAGTACTCATTTTTCACCACCAAGAACCCCAATATACCCCCCTCCCACCCCTCCCAATGCCTGTGAGGCAGATGATTTCCACTGAACTCTTCTCTACATTGATTACATTCATTATTTCAACAAAAGATGCACCATTATTGTTTTGAATTTCTCCCCAACAATCAGAATTGCCGAAAAGGCATTGTGAAATTGTGAAATACTTTGTTTTCTATAGCTGGTTATGAGAATCATATAATAATTTTGGATTTCTGTAAAGAGCCAGATAATTACAAAATTGGTTTCTATGCATCTGGTGTTATGGCTGTGCCAGAGAGCGACTCGTGGGGGGCAACTCGTGACCTCAGTAGGGCGTGAAGGACGAGCCGGTACTGCCTCCCTTCCCATGAGACTGCAGTTGCCCGTCACTGCCGGCTCATACCTGGCTTTCCTATGAGGTGAGGGCCACCTTGCTGCCGGGGGAGGT